CAAACGAGTATTTGAATCGAGAACCAATGAATTCAGTTCAGTTCCCAATTCTAGATCAATAATTGAATAATCGAATCTCCCTAACTTTTTAATTAATTTATTTTAAATAGGCCAAATTATTTTATTTTTTCTAAATATATTTGCTGATTGGTTAATTTAATTCAAATCCAAAAATATGATTTTTCTATTTCTAATTTTAAGTTCAAGCATAACTTAATCAAATTGACCTAAATTTTACTCAAATATATTATTTTACCATAATGCCATTTCTATCATTTTGGAAAAATCGAATTGAAGCTCGATAGCACAACTCTTAATTATGTAAGCTCGCTATCTTCCCCTTCCTGTGATTTTAACAATCAAATATATGAAAAATTCAGCAAAGAGAGAAGTAAAAGACAAATAAGATTGGATTACGTTATTTTATAAGAGTTAAGATTGAACATATCATTAGTTGCATTAATGTAGCTTTATAAATATTAAAAAAATTAAATATAGTACGAAAACTAGAAACTGAATGGAACCGAATCTGAATGGTTCTATAATTAAATTGGATCGGACAATCCCACTTGCTAAGTGCCCAAAAATTTTAGATCCAATTCGATTCTCATCAGAACTGAATTGAATCTGACCATGCCCAACCCTAACCAAAGTCTTCATATTATGAATTCTAAGATTAAAAGATCTACTAAACATGTAGTCGCAACTTTGGTCAAAGTAGTAATCATGTATCTACCCATTTTTTATCTTATTTTTGTTCCCTTTAAGATATTAAATCCCTGTTTGGTAGAGATTAAAATCACATTTTTATGAGATTTTGATAAAAAATTTTGAAACGTGTGGTTGAAAAGTTGTGAATTCCTCCATAAGATATATAGTTAAAATTAATTATTACATTTGACTTATATTAAGTTAAGATTTTAATCAATATCAAACACGGCTAAAAGTAAGACCCTTTTATTATTATTATTATTATTATTATTATATTTGAAAATATAAAGTTATCATTATCATTGAATAAAAAACATTTAAAAAAAGTACAAAAAAAAGCGTTTCCTTCTTCAACCAACCCACCAGAAATCGCCATCGTCAGCACAGTTTTCATCTCAATAAAACCATTCCCCTTTTAAATATAGCGACTACCGTGCCAATGACAATCACCACTACTGTCATTACTAGCACTATTTGATTTTGTAAATTTAGGGCAAACATCTCCCTTCCTCAATTCGCAATGTTATTTACAAAATCAGGAGGATATAATTATTTTCTGAACTTAGGAGTTCCCACCCAAATTTGAAATAATAGGGGAAACCCTCTCCTTGTTACTGCAAAATCTGGGAGGAGATTTCTCCCCTGACCAGTGAACTAGGGCCATAAATCACTATCCCTATTGAAAAATGAAGGTGAAGTTTCTTAGTTGGACAGAACATCAGCTGAGCTAGATAGAAAGGAATTGGAAAAGGGTACAAATCAGCGTACTTGCAGCAGTTTTCCTTGACAAATCAACAAGTTGAGAATTCTGTATAAGAGAGGCAACTGAGTATGCTAGAAGAAGAATTTGTTACAAAGTTGGTTGAAAAGTTGTTACGTGAAGCTTCATTTCTGGCGTATTGTATATTTGTATAGAATAGATTTTGCTTTAGATATTTTTTATTCTTTTCTCCGTAGTATAAATATTCAATCAATGTAATTATTTCTGCAAGGGAAATAAGAATGAATACACAATAGTTTTTCTTTCCATTCAAAGTTCTTCCATTTTGTCAATTTAAATAGCTACAAATTCAAAAGTTAACATGGTATCAAAGCTAGAAATGGAAGAAACAAGGAATGCCAATCAAAATACTCTACCTCCAAATGATAATCCATCCCCAAATACCAACCAAAATAGATCAACACTTAATGATCATGATCCAACTCAACCCACACGTCCCATCTACATTGGTAGTAGTGATGGCTCGAGTGCAATGCTTGTTGATAAGAGTGTAAAATACCATATTTTCCCCCTCTTAATTATTGCATTCATGTTATTATATTATGCCAAAAATGCACTCATTACTCTTATGTTTTGGTTTAGGTTGCATTTTGGTGAAAACGGTGAAATTTGGAAGAAACAAATGAAAAATGACCAAAGCAAGAAGGAGTGAAAGTTCAGGGATCAAGTTGCAAATAGTTCATAGATGAGACGGGCGATGGAATGATGATTTGAGAAATTTAGGAGTCCATTGGTGCAATTAGAAGTCAAAAGAAGTTAGATATGCCTATAATATTTTCACAAATCAAATTCCAACCGGATATAAGGATTTTCAGATTTTGAGTCGAAGATTGAGATCAACGTTCGACCTAGTAAACGTCCGAATTTGGAAAGAGATATTTATATCAAGATTGTAGTACTTTGAGTTAGCTTTCCAATGAAACTTGAATCACCTCAATCGGACGTCGGGAAAAAAAGTTATGACCAAAATACTGAAATCAATCGCACAGAAAATTCTGGCCGAAAATTTACTTTCCTTATTCAGTTCAACCTCTCGTGGAAATGCGTTTTGCACAAGGTTTTAACCCCAAAAACGTCCCAGAACGCCTCCATTTTCATTCTGGATCACTTTTCTCTCATCCTTGGCACAAGAAACTCTATGAAGAACTAAAATCTTCGGTAAAGCCACGAAGGAACTCATTGGATTTGGAGATTTCACGTCATAATTTCATGTAATTCGAACTCTCTTTGCTTAATAATTTCTAGATTTGGATTTTCTCGTTATGAATTAGTATTGAAATTTGTTTAACTTTTAATAAATTTCTCATGGATTCAGTTATGCTTTTTCCATTGTTAAATTAAACTATTTGTTGAGTTTCAATTTAAATCATAGATCTAGCCATGCTCTTTCTATTGAATGATTGAAATAATTGTTGAATTTTAATCTTAATATCACTTTATTGGCGGATTGATTACTGCCTTACGCCTGATTTATATGGCCGATTTTTTATCTTGTTCCAGTAAAAATGTGCGAATGTATTATAGAAAATCTAGATTCTAGAAATATAATTGGAATAAAATTGGACTTCATTGTTAAATCTTCCAATTAGAGAGTTGGGAAGAAAACCTCTAATTGAATAAAAATACATGAATTATTGATGTTGATTGATCCAATCCAATGGGGGAACTCCGACGCTTCACTAATATCGCATATTGATAATTAATTTTTATTCCAAGTGACAAATCATTCCCACATTTAATTACGAAAACCCTAGTTTGTTTGATCCTTTAAGAAATTCTCCATCTCTCTATGGATACGACACCCCAAAACTGTACTACAATCACCGCGTTATTCTTTAGGCGTAATCACTCGTCAAACATGCTCTGGATTCAAGCAATTACTATGTTATGAATTGGATCACATTTAAAACCATTTTATCAAAAGCAAAATAGTTTCGGTACCAATTTGTTATGAAAAGATAAGAAATTAAGACAATTATATGAAGTAAAGATCACAAGAACACAAAAGGAAAATAATTTGCAGAAGATATAGATTTTACTATAATATGGAGAAAGAGAACACAGATTACGTGTTTAAAATGTTTCTAATTTATAATTAGGTTAAACAACCTAACTAAATTATAGAGAAGAGCCAAATACATATAGGGAATAATTCAAACCTTAGAAGTAGAGTTGTAGATGAAATAAAATGTCTCAAAGTTTCCTTATCTTGATCTCTTCAAGTTCAATACAAATTCTAACTCCCAATAACTTTCAAATAGAATTTCAACTAGAATTTGTCAAATAGACTTCGAATAGAATTTCAAAAGCATTCCAAATAGAATTCCTCCTAATGTGTACTTTAATTAGAACTCTCAATTATCTTCTGTTAAGAAATGGTTGTTCAAAATCAACAAATTGTGTGTGGAAGGAAATCAAAATGGAGGCCCAAAGTTTAGGCCATACAATCGCATAGGCCATTTGGCCATGCGATCGCATAGTCCATTTGGCCATGTGATCAGGAAATTCAGTATAATCCATGTGACTGCATAGGTTTAAACCATGCGGTCGCATGATACATTATTTTCGACCGTTGGAAGCCATTTTTGAACTTTGCAAATTTGATTTTGATGGCATTTCTTGAACCTTTTGGCACCATTTTGTGCATATGTTAAAGTCTATAAATTATAGAGCCATGATCCAGGGAAAAACACATTGAAAACACTTAAAATCATATTACATTCCACATTCAAGATCAAAAATTGATTCTTTACTCATGTTCATACTTCTCCTTTGTGATCTTCAAAGTTTTGGTAGGAATACTTTGTGATTTGGTATTCCTACAACAAGGTTTGATTAACATTCATACCATTTGTCGGAATACCCTTAAGCATCTCATTCAATTAAGAGATGGGACAAATATCGTTTGAAAACAACAATATTGTGTTCAGGCCTTTAAATTTGTTCTTGTCCAATATCTGGTTTTAATTCATCTTCTTGTTGTATTTCTTGTGATCTTCTTTTTGTTGCTTCTCCAAACCCCATTGTCTCAATCATTTTCAACAATGAATTCGAGTCACGCCCTAATTCTAAAAAGGATAATTCTACATGTACATTATGGTGTCCATAATGTACATGTGAAATTCCATGAATAGAAGGTTGAAAAAACTGTTTTTGAACCCTTCAATAATGTTATGGCACTTGTAGATTATGAACCCCATAATGTATAAGTAGCATAACCCTTCTAACAATCTCGACCTTGTGATAACAAATCAACTATAGATGTTGGTACAAATCCTGTCTTTTACAAAAGGACAAAGCACATAGAGATAGATTGCCATTTGATTCGGGATAAAATTCAAGAGAAGAACATTGCAACAAAACATGTGACAAGCAAATCTCAAGTGGTAGACATTCTTACTAAAAGCTTAGGCTCTCAAAACTTCTATTCATGTATGTTCAAGATGAGAGTAGTAGATATCTACTCTGCATCTTGCAAGGGGCTATTGAAGAATGAAGGTGAAGCCACTTAGTTGGACAGGAGATCAACTGAGCTGGATAGAAAGGAATTGGAGAAGAGTACAAATCAACATACCTGCGGGCAATTGTCCTAGACAGATCAACAAGTTGAGAATTCTCTAGAAGAGAGGCGGTTGGGTATTCTAGAAGAAGGATAGAAGAAAAATTGGTTGCAAAGTTAGTACATGGAGCTGCTATATATATATATATACATGTATGTATATATATATGTGTGTATTATATAGTTCCCTAAAAAACATTCATTCATACTATTGGCTAGATATTGTAGCTCAAAAATACAATTTTTTTTTCATTTGTTATTATTATTAGTTAATTAATATAGACAGGCCACAAAGGAGTACCAAGACCACAAGCCTCATCAAATCTAATAGGGGCACAAATAAAATTAATCACATGTAGATAAAAGGAACATGTACCCAAAGTAATAAGACATTTAATCAAACAATATTCGTTAATTATCATAACAATTATTATAACTTTATTAAGTAAATTACTCAACCAATAACTTTAGCTAGGCGCTTATTTTAGAACACCATTTTTTTTTATGCTATATTGAGTGCATTACACATAGTTAATCTAAGCTCAAATCTAAGCATACATATCAGTAACAAACGAAAACGACGTTATAAAACAGGCGAACCCATTGGAAATGCCATTGAATTTAGTTCATTATTCCAATAATTCTTATTCTCTTTGAAACTTCCATCATAGCTTCCAACGACGTCGTCAGTGAGACCATCCATGTTTGGCAGAAGATCTGTAAAGCTCTCCAGGAAACTTGGAACACTTAAAGAATCTGTAATAGAAGTGGAATCATCGATAGGATTAATTATTCTTCCATTGATCATATGAACAGAATTTTCGACATAATTGATCGGCATCGTGGATGAATTGTCATTAAATCCATAGGTGGTGGGAATAGCATTGAACTTGTTCTGTGATGAGAAGTTCAATGTAGAGATTGTAGTCGTATCTTTTGTGGGCTTTGTCCATTCACCTTGCCAAACTTTAAGTACATCTAAACACGGTGGTCTTGGTGGAGATGGCAGTGCTTGTGGTGGTGGAACAATGGCTTTTTGGAGGAGCTGCAACTGAGAGCGGTAACAGTTGGAAACAAGTTTGGATTCACGGATGAATCTGGTATGAAGGTAAAGTCTCACATCCGTTAAATATAAAACTATAACCAACGCATAGTCATTTGAGCTACTATTCTCAAAAAGTTGGCATTATAAGACGAATCCCAAGATTCAATACCTGGCTTCTGCTTGAAGACGAGCGTTCTCCCATTGGGCTATGTGGTCGAGATTAGCGGTGTCTTTGGATTGATTTGTGCATAGGGTTTTCTTCTTGTGAGTCACCGGATCAATTCCCATTTTGGTTAATCTCTTCTTGATATGTGTGTTCCAATAGTTCTTTATCTCATTATCAGTTCTCTTTGGCAAGTAAGTAGCTATGGTTGACCATCTTGTAAGTAATAATCAAATTATAAGATTAGTACCCATGTAAACTTAGAACAAAACGATGATTATTTGATAATGTATAATCAAAGTGATGTTATTTACTAATAATCGGTTAATGGCCTGTTATGTGAAGACAAGTTTTTAGATGAATTAGTTCCACTTAGCATCACATATACAAAGATTTGTCATCATTTGTTTATAAAAATTATCGTTATGAAAATATACTACCAAAAGATGTAGCTGTTATGAACATTCACATTCATATTCAATACATAAACTATTATTGCAGAAAATAAAGTTGATATTATGAATATATAGAACTGACAATCTATCTTGAAGTGGTACAATAATTACTTTTTTTGTGTGTCAGTGGATTGTGAATGGTAAAGCTTGAATCCAAGTAAAGTGGAAAATTGATCCCATTTCATTAACTGGGTCATGCTACATGACCACAAATTTTGACACATCAGTTGACACATTTACTCACATGGGGAGGTCGGCATTATTTTATTCACCCGGGACTCACATCTCAATTGTGAGAGATGTGTCAAACAATATGATCATTTAGCTTAATTCTCATTAACTAATTATACCTGTTCCCAAGAAGAGCATGAAGTTGAACGATGGTCTGCTCTTCCTGTAAACTGAACTTTCCTCTCTTAATATCAGGCCTCAAATAATTTGTCCATCTTAATCTGCAACTTTTCCCACATCTTTGAAGCCCTAAATGCCACATAACCAACAAAAACTGATAATTTTTTTTTTTTACGAACTGATAAAATGTGCGAAGGCTAATCGACAAGTGTGTGCGAGGACAAAGAGAAGAAAAAACTCTCGTACTCTTTTTCTCCATCGACAACTGTTTCTAACTCTCGTGTTGAGGGTGAACATCTATGGAATCCGTTAATATAACAAGTGTTTCCATGCATATTTGAAGCTCAATCCTATATATTTTCTCGATACATGGCATGCATGCATGTAATGTAATAGATATATTTATATAATTACCAGCTGCTTCTGGGAGAGCTCTCCAACTTCCATGGCCATGTTCTTCAATATAAGCCAAAAGCTTTTGGTCTTCCTCTGCTGTCCACGGACCTTTTTTCAAGCCTACTTTCTCGCAGCAAAGGGACTTGCCCATTTCAAAGCAATCTCCAAGTGTAGAAGAAGGAAAAAAGGAATTGATATCTCAAAGAAAAATCCTACAGAGAGAAGGTTGAGTGAGATGTGTGAAACCTATATGATATATAAAGACAGAATTTAGGAGATATAAATTTATTTATAATGGGTTTTCGTGAAAATTTATTTCTTTAAAGAATGAGTGGTAAAAAGGTATGGATTTTAAGTAATCTATATCAAATAGAAACTTGTATAATCTTTTCAAGTTACCGGTTCTCTCGATCTAGTCCTGAGCAGCAATTCCTCCAAAACATGCAAGTGGGCAATTCTATGAAATCATTTCAGCAAAATCCCTAACAATTGCAGTGAGTCAGCAGATTTTTGAATTTTACACTGCACAAAACCCAGAAACAAAGAAACAAAAAATGTGATTATATTGTACCAAGACGAATTTTGGTATATACCTTATTCTTGTTCTTTTTTTAGAAAGGATTTTAGGACCATTTTACCTCATAACTGTTTCCTATTGTAACTCATATTTTTGAGTCATTCTTCGAATATGTACTTCGTATACCCAATCATTTTTTTCTATATGAAGTAAGAAAATATTCTACTTTATGTTTTTCTCCATTAGGGCTAGCCGCAATTGGGATGAAAATAAGTTTTGTCAGTGTCTTGTCCTTGCAGGAAAGATGAGTGTGGACTGAATCTTCTAAATACTTCAAATTAAAATCAAGGAAAAATAAGATAAACTTATATAAAGTTCTCTTCACCGAAGCAATGTGAAGCTAAAACTCGAATTTAGGACAAAATATTATAAAAATAATAAGTACTATGAAATTTTTATCTCAAGTTTCATTAGTGGCTTGGGATCCACAAGTCCCCACCTTCTTCCAGCACTGTCTGAAAGAGGTATGATACATATTATTAAAAATGGAAGTGTTTAGCCCCAATTCGGCCATTAAATTAAAATTCATTTTTCTCTTTTTTCTTATCAATCACACGTTCTACAATTAAATAATATTACATGTAAACCAAAAAAAAATCATAAATTACTATTCCTTTCATTATAATTTGAAATAATGGAGCTCAAACAAGGGCTTAACCATATTTTTCACACAGTTCTTGTTGAACTGTCTCATTTAAAAAGTTTAATGTAATTGTTAGGAATATGGTTTTCAATAAAAAAAAAAAAAAAAAAAAGGTAACGTCGCTTTAAAAAGGTAATGTCGCTTACATGATTGATTTTAAATATAAAAAGTAGGATCTTACTATTTGTACATCAATGTTTACATAAAGGATTACATAACACCCACATGGCATTCTACCATTTGTTAGTTTAAAACACAGTTAATTTTTTCATTCAATCTTTTTCCTCCACATTATTTTCAGTAACTGTTTATGCACCATTTTTATATACAAGTAGCAAAATTCTAATTGTGTACACATTTGAGATTTGAAAGATGACATGCATTTATGGGCCAAATTTCAGCAATATTGCATGATATAAATTCAATTTATTTCCTCAACTAGAAACTGTTTATTATTATGACAATATTTAATATAAAATTGAGAATTTGTTGGATATTTAATGTCATATAATTACCTATTATCATAAGTTACAATAATAATATCAAACCACCACTTCGGGTCATTCATAATTTGAAATCAGACTTTAGCTTGACAACAAATGGAACAATCCTTAGATATAATGTAGTTCTCCTAAAAGATGTGACATGCGGTTCTTGTTGTTTTTGTGTCACGAGATTGGAACAATGTAACTCATAATCTTGCATCGATCCATTACTTCCTTGGACCTAATCCCTTACGATTGTATATCGCGTCATTATAGTGCACGACATTCGTAGAGATTTCTAAAATTTTAAATCAAACTCATTTTTCAATTTTGTAAGTTGAGAAAAAAAATTTCAGAATGACAAATCTAATGCGTTTTCTATAATCTTAAAACAAATACTCAAAATAGAAAATTGGAAATGAATTCAAAACGCAAACTCAAAACTGAAACATGAAACAACATGTGTGAATTTTACTAAAATACCATTTCTGGACCAAGCCTTCATACATAGGTAAAATACATCATTTAATTTTCATTACTATGAAAACTAAGTATGCAAGATATGGTTGTTGATGAATATTCTTGATCAATATCTTCATTGTCCAACAAATTATAAGCTTCATGTTATGCGTTATTGGGTAAGCAACAATTTTAGAACATTTTGTATGGTTCGACATCAACATGTTGGAGAAATTATATTCTTATGTAGAAAACATCAAGGATGTATCCATAGAAATTATAACTATAACATTTAGGTTAACAATGACACGATTCTATTATACTACTAGTTTTTTGCACTTAAGCCCAGAGAAAAAGAAAATACTCATTTCATTTTCGTACTTGACCAATAATTGACTTCTCACGATACACAACTTCAAGATGTTCCTGTTGGTACCTATGAATGTAACTTCTTAATCTAGGAGAAATAGAGTAAAAATTTGCAATTGATTTCTTAAATGAGGGTATTAATGACAGACTTTGGGGAAAAAATCTCACCTATTGCAGTGGAAACAAAAAATTTAAAAAGGATCAAGAAATAGAAAAATATAAATTTAGCATGATTTGTCAAACTCCACATGACCGCAGGAGAATAAATTAATTGAGAAATCCCTACAATAAAATATTTCCTCACTCTTGCAACTTCTTCATGCACAAAAATAGAATGTTCCAACGTATGTTGCATACCTGTACGAGCCGTTTTCTCTACTTTCTCTCTCTTAACTCTCACAATTTTGAATGCAACGGAATCCTCTACCAAAATTCACGTCACCCTTCGTGCCACACACAATAGACTCAATTAGTATTCTAAAAGGCGTAATGCATGATGACGCTTGAAGGCCAAGTTATGGGCTAGACGAGATTAGGCAAGACATAGGCGTAAAAAGACGTTTTCTTATTTTAATATTATTTTAATTTTTAATCAATCAAAAAATCGTTTAATAATTAAAAATAATACTTGACGAACATCTAAAACAAATTTATAGGAAATTTATAAATTTTTCAAGGTTTTTAACAATAAGATAACTTCCAAATGTAAATATTAAATAGTAAATAAATGGAAAATTTTGGGAGATTTCCTTCGTTCAAGGTTTCAAGCGATTATTTTAAATTTAAAACCGACAAAGTGAAGAAATCAACATCTAAATTTTAACTTAGAAGAATTGTAAAAATAATAATAATAAAAAAGGATAATTATGCACACCTAGGTGTGCAATAACTATCAAAAATTGTTGTTGACCGTTAAATAAGACGTTAAGCCACTTGGCTTGATGTTTTCGCCACGCATCCCGCATTGGCTGCGCCGACGCCACCAGTGCGTGCCTTTTAGAATTGGGGACTCAATGCTATGTATGCCACATTTATAATAGAAGTCCACATCATTTACCTAATTGCATATTAAGTCTTTTTTTCAATTATATTAGGAGCCCTTCGAATATAAAATCTTTTTTCACCCAAAANATATTCTGGGTTCTTAATTTTTATTTCACAAAATACTTTATCTTTATCCCAATATTTAAGAATATTTTCTCCTAATATCTCTAGTTTTTCAAGTTTACTAATCATATTTTCTATATCTTGTTCTGTTACTAGCAAATCATAAATTTTTTCGATTTCTATAAAATCTAAACATGTATCTTCATTTTCCTTAAAACTTTCATAATATTCTTCTAAAAAATTTAAATTTTCTATTTCTTCCTTTTCTATTAATTGACATTCTCTTTCTTTACTACACTCGCATTCTTTTTCTTTTTCTATTATCCCACCACGCTTCTCAGCAAACTTTGATGGAATAATCTTATTATAAGTAGGGGCACAAAGTGAACATATTGGAGAGAATAAGAAACTTGTATTGTATATATGTTCTTCCGTGTTTTTACAAATGAAAGAATGATCTCCTTTTATAGGAGAAGAAAAATAAGAAAAGCATTATCCAAAAGCAAAGAATCTTTGCTTTTTTCAAAATGTCAAAAAGAGAATAGTAAAAGCTAACAACTTTTTATAAATATGAATAATTTTCCTGGTAGATCAAGGACTATAAGTGAAGTAGGATCATCCTCAGAACCTTATGATAGAGGAAGATATAGTACTTCTAATATAAGTACAAATATTATAGAAAGAATTTTACATAGACAACCTCAGTATAATCAGAATATAGAAGAACTTATTGACCCTGAACAAGATTATAATAGGTTTCAGACTCATGGTTTACAATTACTTAACCCAGAAAACTTATATAATAGAGGAATTTTTGAATCAAGAACTCAATTTTTTAGACATACTAGAGAAGTTTCAATTCAATGTTTAGATGGTCAAGTAAGACAATTATCATTAATATCAGAAGAATCCAAGAAAGAATTAAGAAAAAAGAATTTTAGATTTATGCATTTAGGACTAATAGTTATAGGAATTAAAGGATTAATGAGAAAACATTTAGGTAGTAAAGTTTTATTAACAACCATATCAATATCATAGTGGACATCCTCCTAGAATACCTGCTACAAATTACAGTGATAAAGAAAGAAATTATATAGCTTATATATATATATATATATATATATATTTACATTTTCATAATGTTTGTTATTTTTAGTTAGTTACTAATTAAATTGTAATTTCTTTAATTTTTTTCCTCTTTTTTTCAGGTACTATAGGGAAAACTATAATTTCTTATAGTGAGATTAATCTATACGCATGAGAAAAAAGTCAAGAAGAGGCATCATTATACCCCACTTCATTGTTTATCTAATTCTCTAATATATATATATATAATTCATACATTTATTATTTATTTACATTTTCATAATGTTTGTTATTTTTAGTTAGTTACTAATTAAATTGTAATTTCTTTAATTTTTTTCCTCTTTTTTTCAGGTACTATAGGGAAAACTATAATTTCTTATAGTGAGAGTAATCTATACGGATGAGAAAAAAGTCAAGAAGAGGTA